AGCCACCTGACATCCATGTGCAGCAGCAGGTCTGTGTGGTCTGCTCCTGCCTCCTCCAAGTGAGCCCAGAACAACCTCCTCTGCAGACTCCTGGCCCTTATGTAGCAGACAGTTTTCATTGCAACATCCATCACTTCCTTCATGTTTAAAATCTTCCCACACAAGGCCTGTTGGTGGATTATGCAGTGATAGTTCAAAATGCCTGGGAAAGAGTCATTCTGCTTGCAGAGTGCAACAAATCCACTGGTGTGACCGGTCAATGCTGGAGCGCCATCAGTTGTTATGGAAATGAGTTTATAGGGGGGCAAGTTGCTTTTATTAACAAACTCCATAAATGCATTAAAAATATCTTCTCCTCTTGTGTGTCCCTTCAAAGGCAAGATGGTGAGCAGCTCCTCTTTTGCACTCATGTCTGCAAAGGCCATTCTGATAAAAACACAGCTGGGCTACATCCACCGTGTCTGTTGACTCATCAAACTGAAGAGAGAAACACTCGCATTGTTCCACGTCCTTTTTTAGCTGCTCCTCCACATCCACAACCATTCCCTCACATCGCCATGTCACTGTTTGTCTGGACAACTGCACGTCTTTAATAGCAGCTACGATCTCACTTTTATTTTTAAAATCATGAAAAAGCGCATCTGCAACCTCAATAAACGCTTCTTTCATGACTTCTCCATCGCTAAATGGCTTCTTGTGTTGAGCCAGAATGTGGCTAACACGGTATGAGGCTATTATAGCAGCCTTACCTTTTGTGCTGGGCTGAGTGAAAATTGATTGCTGGGCTGCAAGCTTGCTTTTTAGCTCCCGCACTTTCTGAGTCCTTAAAAAACTTTTAGGAGGGAAATCTACCTCATACCATTTGTGCATAGTCTTGAAATGTCGCTCCAAGTTACACTTTTTGGGTAAGGCAACGCTCAAATTACAGATGAGGCAAATAGGCTTCAAATTAGAATAAACAAAAAAATACTCCTCCTCCCACTCTGTGTGAAAATAATGTTTTCGTTTGCTTGTTCGCTCGTTTACCATCCATGTTTTCTCTGCATTGACAACTCCAGTACTGAATCTAAAGTCTCGTGAGAGCGCTGCATCACCGCACCCAAAACGCGCGAGACTACGTCTGCAAGATGAGGTGGGCGGAGGGTGCTCGTTGCTGCGCGTTGGAATGTGTTACTTAAACTCCCCCCACCTCCACCGCTTCTGCCTGAGTTAGAATGAAGCTACTCCCCCCACCTCCACTGCTTCTGCCCGTGTTAGAATGAAGCTTAGCAAGCGGACACGTCACCTTGCTGACGAGCCGACTTCAGCTGTTAGCAAGGTTGCGCTTCGCAGGCACCTGGGAACAAGCTGGTGGGAGACTGGTCGCCCGCGATCGCCTGGTTGGGCACACCTGCCATAGAGTTGAGGTTTAGCCAGAAAAGTTCGGATTTAATCGCAGACTTAGATAACGACCTGAATTTTATTGTGGCTTGTATTGCTGTTAATTTAGAACTTGTTCTATGGTCTTATAAGCTTATTAGCATAGGTTAGTGTTTAGCATGCAKCCTGTAAGGAACTGCAGAACTAGACATCAATTTTACACAATACAGAGATAGCTTGTTTTAGGGTTAATTTCAAAACGGAGAACATTTAAAGAATTTTGCTATCAATCCCACGGGGGCTTCAGAAAAAGTAGACTCAAAATTGGTTAAAAATTAGGTCTTAATAGCAGAGTAAAGATACAGTAAAGATGATGAGATGAACTCTTCTCTTTCTCTCTCTCTCTCTCTGTCTCTCTCTCTCTCTCTCTCTCTCTCTCTGTGTCTCTGTCTCTCTGTGTGTGTCAGCTAATAACAAGTGGAGCCTAGTCAAAAACAATAAGTTTGGGTAAACTTTAGAGAGAAATGTGTTAAGATCTGAGCCAGATTATTTTTAGTAACTTTTATTTTACTGCAGAAAGAAGTTTATCAAGTTGCCTCGGCGCTTTAACCAGGTTTATAATATATATAATACCTGTTTAGTTACAGGCCTTGCGACCTGTCCAGGGTGTACCCCACCCCTCGCACTGTGACTGCTGGATATGGGCAACAGTGACCCACGCAACCCTGAAAAGGAAGAAGCGTGTACAGAAAATGGATGGATGGATGGATGTTTAGTTACAGTTCATCTGCTCACCAGAGTTGGAGACATTTGTCTGTCTCATGAGGTGAGGCATGTCAGACCTCTGAAGTCCAGCCAGATCTTCCCTTGAGGTCATTACAGATTACAGGTTCATGCAGAATCAAACCCTGTTCAGCTTGGCCCACCGTAACAAACAGCCTTTCAGACCCTCCTCCGGTTGGCACAAACTTCTGGTTTACAGTAATCAAAAATTACATTTTTCCAAAATGGTTCTGGTCCATCTCAGGTTTCCAAAGCTCTTCAGCTTCTTCAGCCAAATCTCATCTCTGCACCCTCTGAAAACCAAACTAGACTCAATTTTTTTTTTTTTTGGCGCAGCGTACCAAGTACCACAGTGTATTAGCCTTAGACAAAACAAAAGAAAACCAGCTCTCTGTCAGAAAAGCACAACATTTCTTTTAGTGAGAATATTATGTTTACTGGAGTTACATTACATACATTATCTATTAATGTTATGTTATGTTAATGTTTTAATCTTACATCTACATTAGCGTTGCTCGGGGGAGGGGGGGTAATACATACTTGAAATAGAAATACCTTTAAAAAAGGGAAATCGTGTTAATGATTATTAATAATTATTTTCTTTTTCATAATGAATCTCAAAAGATTTAAACAGACTTGTTACTTCAGCATTATCTGATTATCTGCAGATGAGGTCATATTTTGAAGTTAATATAGAGTTTTTTCTCTAAGAAAACCTTTTCAAAAACAAAGTTCATTTACTTGTGAAACATGACCAGTGGTGGTCAAAAGGTCATGTCAGGGGTCATGGTCATTCATGCTACAGTGCAGATGTATTTTTCTTCTGAAAGCAGTAGTTTTTTTTCTTCACAAAATTGTTTTAATAAGAGTTTCCCCTCTTAAGATGACCTTACAACCAAAATCAAACTGAATCAAATAGAGGTGTCCCGATACCGATACCAGTATCGGAATCGGATCCGATACCAGCATCAAGT